TTCTGTGGCTTGGATGATTTAATTCATTTCAGAAAGAGCTGTACTATTCATCTCTTCGCTACATTTAAACTCTAAAATGTTAGGATCCAAGTGCTTAGAGCAGCACCTCTGACACTTATTAACCTAACCCCAAATTAATGGTTGTCAGGAAAGCTTTTGTTCAGTAACTTGAGTTAGTAGAGAAGGACTCTTTCTAACAGAGTGAGAAAACTGTATGGCAAGGAATGAATGAAGTAACATAATGATCAGAATCCTGTTGCTTACTGTAGTGAATCACATTAGAGTAGGCCCACTGAATATATGGGGATTTGGTGAGTCAACTCCTCCATAATCAAATGGTCTGATTCTAAATGTGACTTACTGTGCTAAAATAAGTCACAACTAGAGTAGGCCCATTAGAAACAATGGAACTTATGCCACATTGTGCCTCACTACATTAAACAACAGGGATTTCAGCCATAACCTTCATGATCATCCTGTTTATTTTTTTGTGAGAATGCTTGTTTTGGTACAGACCTGTGCTTTCAAATGAAAAGTTGAAAAGTTTTTGGCACTGACTTTCCCAGAATCCCTCAGCCCCAGATTAAATTACTGAACTGAATGTAAATATAGCTCAGTGTCCTGACATCATAAAATTGTAATCAGTCTTGACTCTCTTGTTCCTGAGTTTGATGCAAAGAAAGATCACCTGGAAAACTTGTGCTGGATTTGGCAAAGAAACCCTCAGGATCATAAACAAATGCACAGTTGCCCGTTGTAATCATTTTTGCATAATTTTCTGGTAAGACAATTCCTGTGTTTCCTAAAAGGTAAACACCAGGCTATCTGGTTATTGTTGCATTTTGCTGTTTTGATCGTGGAACTCCTGTTGGATGTTTTCAGTATGTGTTAGTATCCTGGGAAACCTTTTAATAAAACATGGTTTACATAGTTAATATTGCCACCATTACCGGTGAAAGGGCATAAAATATTCTGCTACACTGTAGAGAGAGAAAATGTTGACCTTGCATTTTTCTAGTACTTTTTGACAAATCCAAAGGTTAGGTTAGAGGTTTATTTTAAACATTCTGTGACAGGTGGTGGAAGTTTATACAGTAATCCTTTAAATGGGAATAGAGTGAAGAGCAATCCTCTTCATGGATTGCTGCCTTGTTGTGGCGAAGGGGTTTGAGTGATTCAGAAAAACTATGCCGTGCAGGGACACCCAAGACGGACAGGTCATAGTGGAGAGTTCTGACTAAACGCGATCCACCTGGAGCAGGCAGTAGCAAGCCACTCCAGTATCTTTGCCAAGAAAACTCCATGGACAGAAACAAAAGGCTAAAAGATAATGACGCTGGAAGATGAACCTCTCAGGTTGGAAGGCGTCTGTGACGTTTACCACGTGGCCCCTGCTTGTTTCCCCGAACAAAGGGCTCACGCTATGTCATCCCACGCAGATACCAATTGTGATGTTCTCTCTTTTCCTCAC